CTTTTTAATGGTTGAATTCTGAGTTTGTTAGAAGATGTAATTACACACTTATTAATGTATATTTATGAGCACAGTATCCTGTTCTTATGTTAAATAACTTCCAAAAACAACTGACTGCACCTTTAACTCAGAGCAAATGATCTTTTACTTGAACCAACCAGATCTAAAGCAAGCAAACACGTTTCTCACCACAAACAAAACACAGTTGCCGTATGACTGCAAAACTACGCCGGAAACATTGTTTTCACTCCAAATAGTCAGACTGCCTCTTGGAAAATGGGAAAAATTAATAATAATATTGTACTACATAAGTCAAATACATATTTGTGTTGTTTTTTTAAATGGATTTTATAATGAAATGGCTGCAATCAGCTGCCCACACAACATTCGATCCATATATACACAGTAGTGTTACCTTATGAGCATTTTTTTAATGTTTCTTTTAAAAACATATTTAAGACATTTACCTTTATATGTGTAAATCAATACCTTTCTCATTTTGTATTACTTGGTCATCTTCTTTCTAGACCCCACTAGACAATTTGCATAATAATCACCTCTACTGCCTTCCAAATTCAGGTTACAGCTTAGTAAAAATCCACCTCGCAATTTATTGCTTTTGTCCTCCTTTTCCTTCCCATGAGCTTTATTTTGTTCCATCTGAGAAAAGCATTTGATACACAATACTCCTTTTCACAAACTCTTGTTTGCTAGAAAGTTTAGGAAATATGCCCAGTTGACATAACCAGTGGTTATTCCTACAAAGCAAAAATTAATCCTAAAGGGAACACTGACATGTGTACCTAATCTGAATAAAAAATAATAAAGCCTATTTTTTATAGCATTTAGCAAAACCAGCATTACAAAGAGCTTCCCAGAAACACAGAATAAAAGAACTAAAATTTGATATAATTTGTTGCATGAATGAGTCTTTAGCAGTGTTTTTTTTTTTTTTTTTAAAGAAGAAGCATTATAAAGAATTAAGTTTAACTTCTTGAGGCACAACTGAGAAGTCCTAACAGGAAAAGCTCGATTGCCTTTTAAGTTCGAGGTGGGAACAGTCAACAGGTTTCTTCCTTAGGATCAGAGGTTGTGTAATGGTTAGTGCAAGTACTGCAGTTTGGGTATAAAATCTGGGCCAGACAATGAATGGCTTTATAAGTAATAAGTAAAATATTTAAATCCTTTAAAAAAGTAATGGGCAGCCAGTATAGAGTCATTAAGACTGGAGTAATATCTTAACTTTTCTTGGCTCTTGTAAGAAGTCTGGCTCCTGCAAATCTCAAGTCTGTTTAATGTCTTCTGATTGATATTTATTGAAAGACAATTACAATAGTCTAACCAAGAAGCAATAAAAGCATGAATGATAGTCCAAGTGTTATTAAAACGATTGATAATGTTTCTGAGCTATTCCTCATGTGGGAGTATCAGGACTGGCTGAACTTGTTTATATGTTTGTCAAAGTTGAGATTAGAATCAGATAATACTGATAATCGCATGGCTGCCACTCCCTGAGCCTGGTTCTGTCAGAGGTTTTTTTCTTATTAGAAGTGAGTTTTTCCTTCCCACTGTCACCAAAGTGCTTGTTCATAAGGTCATCTGATTGTTGGGGTTTTCTGCACTATTATAGGGTCTTTACCTCCCAATCTAAAGCACTTTGATCTTAATTTTTGTTTAAATGCACACACATGCATTTCTTAATATGAAGTCAGAAAGATCTATCCATAAAGACCACAAAAGATGGACCTAGCTTGCAAGAAAGGTGAAACCTGAACAGTGCTTTTAAACTGCATTCTTTTTAACAGCCACTAGGCGGCGATGCCCTTGATTGCAATAGGACCTATTAGAAATCAGTGGAAAAACAGTCCTGGACTTGACCTCTGTTGGCACTTTCATAATGAGTTTATAGGCTCAGCAACTAATCTGTGACCATACTGAATGAAAATTTATTTTTAAAGTTTCAGGAAGGAAGGCTTTCTGGGGTGATGCTCATTGGATAATGACTTGCGACTGACAAGTTGGTAGCTAATGAGTGTGAGATGTCATAGTCAGAAATGGAGATACAAATGGGTGATGTCATTCTAGCTATGTCCATCTTTGTTTGTGAGTCCATCCACAAAGCTGTATTAGCTGTAGAGGTGCTGTAGCTGTACTGATGCCCATGGAAACCCAGTTACCATTGAGGTACTTCAAGATTTCTAATTAAGAGACATTTAAAAATGACACCAACAACACAAGAGATGGAAATTGACTAATTCCAGTGTTTTGTTTTGTTCTTTTTTTCCACTGATTTTTAGAAAAGACATTATGTTCTGTTCAAGTTCAAGATTTTATTATTATTCAGTGCAATAATAAAAATTATATTTGTGCTTTCATCTTTGCAGATGAACCCTGCTGACCCTGCAGTTAAATGTTGGCCACCTCCAACAACACTCAGAGACAACTTTAGGTAGACTTATGAACTGTTAGGTGTGAGGTGGCGGTTTTGACTGCCTAGAATGGAAACACTAACAAAATACACAAGTGGAGTCCTGTTGTTACTCCGTTGGTGGACGCACACGATCACGATGCTGAGCTATGAGACAAACAACGCAATAACAGACGGACTGAGAGAACAGAGTAAGCATTTCTTCAGTTTAGGGGGAAACAGCAGAGGCGGCAATGAGAGTCATGTTGTTGATGCTTATGTGGTCACATGCAAACCTAACCACCATCCCTTGGGATATCCTTAAAAGAGGTTCAGATGCTGATCGAAAAGATGATTTCCCCCACTGACCCTGCAGAAATGAAAGGGTGTAGCAGGTGGTATCACATCAGGAAATTATCACGCACTTTGCATGTGGATGTTTCACTTAGGTCAGCATTCTGAATATGTGATCTGAATGGGCCAAATGGGCCAAGCAAAGAGAGAGTCAGCGTCTGATTTTTGTTCTCATGCATGTATATGTGCCTCAGCTCTGAGCTTGTGCCTCACTATGTCAGCTAAGAATTGTGGTCTGTCTAACTGTGATTCTCTGGGTCTATCTCTCCGAGCAGATGTACTCTTTTCTGCTCCACAGCTGCATCCCACATGTTTTCACGCTGCTTGACAATGCACGTATATTCTCTTCTGCTCGGAGCTCTAATGTTAGTGGTGATACTGGTGGTGCTGGTGGTGGACGATTCCTACTATTCTTATGGCCCTGATCTGCCCTTAAACCAGAGTTAAGCAAGTAGCACTCCGGCCCCGCTTTGGTCCTGAAAAATCTCCAGTTCTGTAATGTGAAGAATGTAGAAGGTAGGGGGTCAGAACTGGCAGGGTCTGCCACAGCTTCATAGCACACTGAGTCATTTCCATAATTGCCCACAATCAAACCAACCCCTCTTGGATTCCACCCGCTCCAGATTCCTGTAGATAAGCTGTGCCGCAGCTTTGGTGAGTGCTGGAGACCCCCAAGTAAGAACAGGTGCCGCTAATGTAACTGATTTCAGGTTTTCCCAATGTTTCCCCGGTAATTGCTCTGGGTTGAACAGTCCCTTTTGGATTGCTATCATGTGACTTTCCTGAAGAGCGGAATGAAAGAGGGTTTGTCCCACATTTGGTATTATCAGGAGACTTTAGCCAAATTAAGATGCCTTACTGTAAGTACGACTGTACAGGAACAAATCACTGGGCATCAGATTGTTAGTGATTGATTCGCATTGTAGCCAATTTTCCACCGCCTACAAGAAAAGTACTGCAGAGCAAAGCCTTTAGACCATAAACGAAGTCAAACAACCCATGACACAATATGCAGTGTGACGTTTCTCTAATGCTACAGTCTCTTAAGAGATATCAGTCGCTGCCACAGCAAAGCCATTCAAGAACCGAGGCAAGTCATTTTTGACATGACTGTTCATTAACTAAAATACGGTGAGAATCTGTATATGGGGGGGGGGACAGACAAAAAAGTAGTATAAAAAGGCACAGGTTGATTGTTTTTAACAAGTTTAAAAGAGCATATGCAAGTCTTTACGTAGCTAGTAATTACTGCGTATTAAAATAGTCACTGGCTAGTTTACCCATTCTTAAAAGCCTGCGTTAGCTTTCCCCAGAACCGTGCAGGTACAGTTTTAGTAAATGTACCTTAGGTACACCACACTACATCAGAAGAATAATGCTTACTTGACGTACAACTGTAAAGGTTTTTCATATTTATGAACAACGACCGCCGTCTTAGGGAGGGAATTCAGGAGAAGTCTAATAGTCTATTACATTTCTCTCTCGCTATTGTCAAAATAAGTCATTACACTGACGTGATAAGTACAGGAAGGCAGTGAATAATGAGCAACAGTCGTTTTAATCGCCTCTACCGTCGAATGAGCGTTCGGTACTTTACTCCCCCCACCACCTCCTGTCTCCGTCCGCCGCTCTGCCAGGTAACCGTTTACCTCGACGTGGACGCGACTGTGGCCACACGCGCGCTCCCGCGAAGTCATACGTCACTGTGCTCGCTCCTCTTCTCGCGCGCTGGTTAAAAAGAAGGAGGAAAGAGCACGGGAAAACATGTGAGCGCTCTGAGGACTTTAGTGAGAGGCAACTTTTATTTTTCTTATATGTTTTTTTACCTGTGCATGTCCAAACTGCCGTGCTGTGCTCAAAAAGGAATTACATCTTAACGGAACGTCACGGCTTTATTTTTTGTATTTTTTCCACTTCCACTGTTTTGCGGGTTTTGGCTTTTTCTGCTCATCAGGATAAAATGTGTTATTATTTTTGCTTTCATATTGTTATTATTATATTATTTTAATTTTCGGAGTTATACTGTATAACCAGAAGGGAAAAGTAGGGCTAATTTATTTTTAAACACCTGTTTTCATACTAACGAATCACATTTAGAACACCTGCGTGTACAAATTTGACTGTTGTTGTTTTTTTTTCCTGCGTGGAGAAATATATACATATAAAAATATAGTGCACGCCAGGTCAACATCTCTCTCTCTTTTTTTAAAAGGGACGCGTTTTGTTTTATTTTCTATTATTATAATTAATATTATTGCAAGCGCATTTTATTATCTTTTGAGACTATGAAGCATTTGCAATTTGTGCTTGTGCTGGCCATCGCGGTCAACGTGTGGGAATGTGGGGACGCAAAGTTTGGCGAGAGAGGAGAAATGAGCCCCAGGAGAAGAAGATGTTACGACGGAAGCTTGCCCAAGCGGCTGAAGAAAAGGGAGCGAAAACTGTTGCTTGACGGCAGCAGCGGAGGAGAAGTTTGCCACAGGCTGTATCCTCGCGTATCCTGCTGCCCCACCAGGAGAGCCGCCTATCAGATCCTGCACCGCAGGGATCCCAGGGTAAGTTAAAGTCCGTCCGCACACGCAGCATTTTCTTCTAATGAAAGGACTGGCTTTTTAAAAATATATTATTATTGCTAAGGCACCTGAGGACATGCATTTACAGCCTTTGTGCATTGTCATTCTGCTTCTTACTACCGACAGCTGAATTTGAGGATGGCAAGAGGAAGTTGCCTTGGGCTATGCTGCCAAGAAGAAGTCCTAATTTTTATGTTGCTGTGGGAAAGCTATTGTAGCCTTAGTGGTAGGCGACCTTTAAATAGCTTCAGATGAAATCCCCATTCATAAAACTGTAAGCATATGCGTGGCTTAATTTTATTTATTTATTTCCCCCTCTTTTCAGTATCGCTGTAGCATTTATACAATCTTCGGAGAACAACTTAATCTGCTTCTATCGGAGGCAGCCTTAAAAGTGAAGAAAAATCCTGCTTTCAGCAATAAAATGTTTACCAGCTTCTCATAATACGGTTCAACTCTAATTCGGTGTGTCCAATCCGCTTCGTTGTTACCATGGCAATCACTCGCCCGATTTACGTTACTTCTACGCTGGCCACAGTGAGCTCCAACCGCCGGCTGAGAGTGACAGAAAGAGGCGCTAGGTAACTAACTGTTGAGCCATTTACACGACAAGGTAGGAGTTCGGCTGTACCCTTTTTTTAAAAGTCAGCCGTCGACCTTTTTACTGGAACTGGAAGCTGATAAGGATTTTTCCCCTCTTGCCGGCTGTTTGGCAGCCGTTGGTTCTCAGAGTTAACGCTCAGACGTTTGTTTGTCTAACGTCTTTTAAGTGTCTCGCGCTCTTCCACTCTTGACCGTTATGGCGCCAACCGAGGTAATAATGTAAGTGTTAAAATGTAATGCAGCGCAAAGCTCAGAGGGGGGGGGGGGGGTTAATTAAACCGCTCTTCGGAAATGCAGGAAGGAGAAAAAAACAGCGAGTGTATGCGGCCAAACTTGTAGCAGATTCCTTTGGATCCTCACCGGGCCATTCTCATGTAAACCACCCCTCGAATCATTCAGTGGCTGGGTGGTATCTCACTTTGTGTTGCGACAAAAAGCCATATTGCATCATTTAATTTGCTCAAGTCATGCAAATAAGAAGGGGTGGGGGGGTCGAAACTGAATAGGACGAACTCGACTTCTCCTCCTCCCAACTACACTGCCCACACACGGAGCCCTTTCTGATTATGGCAAAAGAATAACAACAACACCATTGTGTTTGTTGGTTTCACTAATGGGAGAAGCTGGAGAACATCATTCTCCCCCCAGTCATGAGCCCCTGTCCAAGTGTTAATGCCTTTGAGAGGGTGCGTGTCTTTCACTATATCCCCCCCCCGCAATAAACTTACACCTATTCCCCGAGGACAAGTGTTTTGTTAACGCTTAGTGTTGCCTACCTCAGTGCTTGTCTCCCTTCTCCTATCCCAGTCTCCCTGATTGTGTGAGGACTGTCCAGATTTTTTCTCTATTTTTTTTATTCCAGCTGAATCGTATTTTACATTTTCATTTTTTTATGTGTTAATGTGTTTCTTCTGTGGATTTTTGCTGTTGAGTCATGCAGATGCGATCATAGAAGGAGCAGCTGTTCTCCCACACAAGGCTGAGCTTTGCAGGTGTGAAGGGAGTTTTAATAAATAAAAAAATGCAATGTAAAAATCTGAAATGACAGGGGAGTTAAGTTACTCATGATTTAATTTTCTTACCCCATTGTAGTTCCACTTTTTCCCCCGATTGTGACTCTGCTCTTGATCTCTGTGAAAGTGTGACAGCTGAGCCTCCTTGTTGCTGTTTTCTCCCTGTTTTTTTTGAGGCGTGTACTCACCAAGATTGAGCGAGAGACAACAAACAAAGGTTCACTTGTTCTGGTTTGGATGATGGCAACATTGGAGCCCATCCCAGTAACATATGGACACAGGGCATGGTTGAGAGCACACAAATGCTACTCTCTGTGGACCTTGTGCCAGCCTATGGCACGCAGAATCAATGGGCAATTTAGAGCAGGAGAGCAGGCATGCCCGCAACACTACAGGGCATGAGCGTAGAGGATACCGAGACAGAGGTACACACTGTACATACAGTGCAGAGCTCCCTTTTGGAAAGGGGTTAGATAAATTGCAGAACAAAGATACCATTCAGTATGATTCTGTCTTTGTTTAGTCCATTACATTGCCTTCTATGAATTGCGATTTCCTATTTGCATGTCTGAAAGTGTATTTCACCTTATGGGCAAAATCAGCACTGTACAACTTCTGAAGAGAAAGTCTGTTCTGCAGCTTCAACTCGCTCTGCAACTAGAGTAAAGTGTAAGGTGTCCATATGTTAGCCTTGGGTCCCCTGGTCTAATTGACTTCGACAGACTGCTAATTTGTTGATACCAGAGAGGGAATGATGTGCCTGTCTATCTCTAAATTGGTGTTTACACATGGACCTCACACAGAGCAAAGCACTACCAGCCTGCTGCCTGCAAACAGCACTTGACCTAAAACAGATTACATTGTGTTTTATTATAGCTAATTTGTTATGTAAATAATCCTGCTAATTTCTTTTGGATGAAGTCTATGTATACCTTTGCATAATCACCCCAAGTCAGGCTTTGAGGCGCTTATTTGGTTTCATTCATTTTTTGCTTTGAAATTTGTCAAGCGTGGGTATCGTAATTTGATTTTAAGTGTTTGTGAACTTGGTAAGTAGGCAGAGAATGAGATGATCTTTTTGTTTATTTCTGTTTACAGAAAGGGAGGTCAGACTGTAGGCTTGACAAGTCTGTACAAAAGGCGACTGAATAAAAAATGTTGCAATTGTATAGAAAATTTAAGCATGTTGAGTATTTCAGGAAAAGACAAAAACAACTTTTAGACCTTTGTTAGAATTCACTTTTATGAATGGGATCATGCATTCTCCAGTGGGAGAACAAGGAGGTAAGTGACATCACTAGTTGCTGCTGAAAATGTGGAGTCGGGTGATGCAGATGCAATTGTGGAGTTGTTGAAGACTTCAAACTGAAAGAAATAAAAACTAAAACTAAATAAAAACACCCCAAACATATCCACTGTAGAACATTAACAGAGTCCATGGCATTAACATTAAGCTTTTCATGTATGTAGTGAACAAATTATACATCATATATATCTTATAACTATCTTTAAATCTTGTGAGTACTTCCTTTATATATATCACATTGGCTAATTTCATGTAGTTAAATGGGAGCATAATGTTAGACATCATATACACATATTTACTGAGCTGATATATACAAGCCTAACACTGAAATAAATATACAAAAATATATAAAAGTATATAATTTGAACTCAGTGAGATCATTTGAAAGCATCTTGCGTAGTTTTTCTAAATTCTCAGTGTCGTCATATTCAGGAATTTATAACAAAGATTTGAAAATGAATCTCACAATCTAAACTCTCCCTTCTTCATAGTGTAATATTTATCATGCTGCTATCACTAAATGTCCAGCTAAACCTAAACTATATGTTTGCTTGCGTAGTGAGTGTGAAGTGAGAGGTAAAAGCAAACAGCAAGCCGTTCTAATCAGGCGTATGCCCTTGTTGCGTGTGGTCTCCAGATTTTCTCCACCAACAATACAGAATGTGGACGTCTCCTGGAGGAGATCAAGTGTGCTCGCTGCTCCCCCAATGCCCAGGTGTTGTTCCACTCCTTGGACATGGATAAGATGCCACACAGGGAGCCAGACCTGCCACGGCTCTGCCAGAACTTCTGCCGCGAGTTCTACTACACCTGCAGGGGGCACATACCAGGTAATTACACAGATAATAATAGCCATTATTATAACTTTAATGTTGCCAGTGTGGTTACCTGATGGTATCCAAGTAAACATACACAGTGGAAAAGATTAAGTTAAAGTAAGCATGTGCTATATTTGGTCATTTGTAATTCTCATAAATTCAAATTGATGCGAACATGTTGATTTTGATTTATTAAAAAAAAAAAAATCAAACCCAGCCACACTTCTCATTGAGACTCAGCTTTCACATGCATGTGCAGCTGGAAGATTTTTGAACTTGTGCAAGAAGTGGTGCGTCAATAGTCTGGTCTGTGGATATTTATTTATTCAGCTCTTACCTCATCTGACCTCACCCCAATTTGCTGTTGCTTGTCTCACCCATTTTTCTTGCTTTCTACCTCGTTTCTTAATGCATCAGTAAAATCACTTGCCACACTCTGGCTGTACGGACCCAGCACCTGATTAGTGTGCAGGCTGGCCTAGCACATTTGAGTAATCAAATTTGGAGAGTGATTTTTGTGCTTCTTATGACACAGTATCGAGTCTAGCTGTGTTTATGTCATCAGGTGCCGATATTGTTGTTCTCACGTCTCTGTTAGGTCTGTTGGGATCATGCAGGGTTATTTTAATCAGCAGAAATTTGCAATAAATTAACTTTCTGAAGCCCTTGAAGGTAGTAACAATATGCAGACTTGAGACAGTTCGTGACATGTGAATGGAAAATATTAGATATGCAAAGGTGGGTGTGAAAACAAATTTCATGAATGCACTGACAAAATCCAGCCGGCCTGACCTGTGTTCCAGAAAACTTGACTGACTGGAGAAAAGTGAACTATTTTATAACCTGTTCCTGGATGCAACTTGCTAGACTGAACTGCTGGAGTTGATTCTGTATTTGGGATACATATGCACCCTAGCTGTGGTCTAGACATGACTGCTGGGTGCTTTGCCTTCCTCAGACATAAACTGTCAACTAAAAAAACTCTCTCATGCTCTGCCATTAAACTGTTTTCATTTGGGTAGTAGGTTAACATGATTTGTAAACATAGCTGAAGTGTTGCTGTACTGGCCTCTGTCGTTCCTGACTATTAGATGGCAGAAACACAAAAAAACAAAAAAGCCATTGATGCAACAGTTTCCTATATGTGTAATGTACTGTTAAATGGGACGCCTCTATCACTGAAGCATTTTCTTCTCAGAAGATCACAGGTACCTTCAGAGTGCACACCACACAAGATCAAACACTTCTTGACTGTCTCTTCTCCTACAGCCAAGTCTTCTTCCAGTCTCGGTCGCCACAAACTGATTAGATCTGCTAAGATTTGCAAACAGAGAACCGTTTCAAACACACTTGTCTGCAATCCACCCACATGATACGCTGCAGCTCAAGTCAAATATCAAACACATACATTCCATCGGAGTCCTTGCTCATCTGCATTTAATGGCCTACCGTAGTATCATGTACAACAATTCAACTACAACTGATGTTGGCGAGACGGACTCTACAGAGCAAAGGCAAAGAAGAAGAAGTCTGGCATTGTCAGAGTTACATTGTTTCCTTATGAACTGATAGACATATGGGCTCAGAGAGTCAAACCAGAAAACCTCAAGAGAAGAATCCAGACAAGACTCCCACCCCGTCCCCCCACTGTAGGCTCCTCCCTGTACACCCCCCATCAGCCCCCACAGATCAGCATATGTGGTGACGAATGACACATTTATTTTTCTACAAAGGTTGTGTGTATGTAAAACTGCTGAAGTGCATCAAGATGTCAAGTACTTTGGGTGGGCCACCCAGGTTGCCTTGGAAGATAACCAGATGGAAGTATAACTTTAGCAGTGGGGAGCCAGGAATATGGACAGAGTTCTGTCTCTCACTCTGTGTGTCTTTGCCTTCGCTCCCTTGTTCTCTCACTTCTTTTCTCCTTTGATTTGTTTCCTGCCTTTTTTTAAAATGTTAACTCTTTTACAGTATCTTTTGTTAGTGCACACCCTGCAATGAAGGTAGAAGACATTGTCAAGCATACAAGGAGGTATTGGCGATTCCTGAAAATCATCTCCAAACTACAGACAGATTAATTTGATTGAATGATGTACAATATGAGCAATGCTTTTCTTAGGCATTTGCATAAATGGTAACAATTAAGTTGGAATTTTTGAATGTGCAATTCCTTTTTTTTTATTGTACCTGAATATTGTAATGGGAGGCAGCAAAAGTGAACATAACCACAAACCTTGCCTATCAGTGTCACCCGTTTTGCTAACACAAAATCACCAGTCACAGGTATTAAATTGAAACAGTAGCCTTTACTGCACCCATAACTGTCGTTCTGCACCCATGAAACTTCCTACCAGTCCTTGATTAGCCCATGTACCCCTTTCCTCCATAAAGCTATTTACTGCCTTGACTCTCACTTCTGCCTGGGGGCCTCCCACCTTCTCCATACTTCTCTTATGTCCTCCTCCACTCATCCCCGCACCCTCCATTCGATGTCCCCAACCAGCATGGTTAAGATAACTGCAGACACTAGAGTGTGGGTGGTATAGTCAGAGCTGTGTGTGTGTTTCTACGTGTGTTTGATCTTCATGTTATGTTTAGATGTTTGAGGGGATATCCTATCACCTCCAGTATTTGGTGCGGTCAACCCTTGCGGTGTGGGGCACAGGGAGTAGATGAAAGGAGGGACAGGGAGAGTCCTGTTTGTGTTTTTACCACTGGTGTATTTGCTTTCCTCTGTCCTCTGAGGGATTGACTAAAGGAAACAATATTGGTAAGATTGTTTTTAGGTCGCTAAGGGCCCCGAAGACCCACTGCGCACTCTGCTTATTGCCGGGAATAATGTTGTGACTGCACTGGCTCGAGGGGCAGCTCTGTGTGACTCCTGTGTTTATGCAGATTACCCTCTCCTCTGGCACGAAGTCGTTTTAGGTAAACTAGCAGGCCAAAGGGAAATAAGGAATGATGTGATGTCAGTTTTACCTTGAACTCATGGGCAGAATTTATGGAAATACAATCAGTCAGCATTTCGGAACATCATGTCTTTGTTTGGCAATTCAAGTGATGAAAAGCTCTCACCCTGAAAACAATTTTGTTTATTCAGTCACATGCCATATTAAACAGGTGGACTTTTTCATTTCACAGGCTATGCCCATGTGCAGCTCTGTAATGCAAAACAGCCAGACCAGAAGAGTAAAACAAGTAATTTGGTTGGGTTTTTTTTGTTTGTTTGTTTGTTTTTATTTGATCAAAGAACATTTTTAGGATACCTGTGACTGGCAAGAAAAATGAAGGAATAACATTTTTAACTCCAGCTAAGTGAATGAACACAGTTTGAAAATTGGAAACTGCCATCCAGCGTCACCAGATTAGTTAACCGTTAAATGTGTTGATTTTGAGAAATAATGATGGGAAAAGTTGTAAAAATGTAGTTTTAGAAGAGTTTTGTAATTTGGTAACTTTTTTGACATTTGTTTTCAAATTATTTTTTTCTGTATTTATAGTGTTGCAGAATATATTCAAGGGGGTATATGTGTGATTCATGAAATTAATTTGGTTCCCATAATTCACTGCGATGGAGACATATTGTTTCTGGTATAGAGTCAGATGCTTTTGGCAAGGGTTTACCTAGTTAATAATTCTAGTAATCATATATTTGGCTTTCTTTGTGTCTCACATTTTTCAAAATGATTGAACTCCTTGTGGAGCTTTGTGGAGTCTTCGTTGGGATGCAGTGGGGGTTTTTTCTTTTTCTTTTTTCCCTAGAAATAGCTTTCTTAAGACCACTTCTGTGTATGTCACAACCTAGTCAACCATCAAATGATCTATGAATCAGTTGAAGAATTATATTTTTAGTGCCAAACAGACAAAATTATAGTCCTCATCATGCCAGTTCTTGTACTAGGTTTATTTCAGATTTTTTTCATGTACAATGGCTGAGATGTGTACTTCCTCAGCAAGCTTGATGAATTTTGCTGCCACTTGCAATGTGTTGCTGTTCATTTCCAGTAAGCTTTCATTTAG